AAAAAATGGACTAGCAAACAAAAGCAAAATGAAAGAGTCATTTTCTGAAGGAGTCAAACTTCCAGATAAAAGAAAACTATAAGAATGATTTGAGTCTATAATGTGGATTATAGTTAGTCTCTACAATATTTTTTTCCTAATATGGCTCTTCTACTAGGCAGTGGGTACACACTGGGTATAGGCATATTTACTGAATTTATCGCATTAATTCTGTTAAAACACTTCAACTGTTTACACAAACACAGAAATTGGCTTGGTGAACTTTCTCCTTAATTCCAATGGATAAAAGTGGTGATTGAAGAATGGGATAAGTACACAGGGGGTTTGTCCTGCAATTCAAAAGGAAGATGGAATTAGACATTTGACCCCTGTCTTCAGAGAGAAAAAGGGCTGAAAATACAATGCATCTGTAAAGGGAAATCATGTGAAAGACTGTAGCTGAAAACATAATCATATTATTGTCTATGTGGTGATTTGTATTTTGTAAGTTGCTTTTATATACATGATGCCATGTAATGTTTCCAGAAACATAATATAGGTCTGAGTACAAAGCTTCTGTGATGTATTTGGTAATTGTTGAAGATCCTACTGTTGTTCAAGTAGGATGGAAACACATGACTTTTATTGCTAAATTCCACGCTCTTTCCACTACCGCAGTGAGTGATCACTCATCTCATATAAGAAATGAGAAAAGAACAAACAGAAAGGAGAGACTCAAGTAGAGAGTAGGTTCTCAAGAGGGTTAAATATAGAAGTGGTATTTCATAATATCCTGCTGGCTACAGAATATCTCTTCGTGGATATTCTCATTGAGAATTTGGGCTGCGTTTGGTGAAAGCGCTATCTCAGGGAGTCATGCTAGTGTTATGAGGGCTACACTGCTAAACTGAAACAATAGAAGTGTTTACAAAAGGTGAACCAAAAAAAATATATTTGCCTTGGGTAAAAAGCAGAATAGCTGTGGAGAGGAGTCAAGGTCTAAGGTTATAGCCAGGAAAATGGTGAAGAAGATAAAATCCAAAGGGCAAGGCAAGACAGAAATGAGGCACTTAATATTAAGGTTGTATCAAGAAAGCCAGTAACAGGTTGAAATTCCATGTGAAGAAGATTGAAGGGACAAGTTCAAAAATATGGCTGCTGAGGTTTGTGCCTGCCCTGGCCTTTTAATACTGTTCCCAAGAAAAGCATGTAGAAGATGTTAAAGTGACTTCAAGAGACATTGTGTTTCAGGCAGCAACTAAATATTTCTTTATATCAATAGTTTTCTATTTTTTTCTGAGTAGCGTAAATCTCTTTTTAAATAACCCTTGTGCAGAAATTCAATATATAAATGGATAAAAAATAGAACCGATCTTATTTAGATGGAGGTAGAATTCAGAATTGTGCCACAGGCCAGCCATCTGGGCCTTCAGCCCTTTGGGATCCTCTGGGCAATTTTCCCAAATATTAGAGCTTGCGTAGTTTGAAAACTACCCTTCTAGACCTTCTAAGATATGTCCTTATCTTAAGTCAGATAACCAGAAAGTTATGTTTTAGACTTTATTAAATTGATTCTCAGTATATCACTGAATAAAAATTTAGTATGCCCCGAGTGCTAATCACAGATCAACATAAGAAGCAACTATGAGAAACATTTCTTGATTTTCAGTAGAATTGCAATTAAAAACCTTTTTTATTTCTTGTTTATTTTCCCTGAAAACATTTTATGTAATAAACTTCTCTTAGAAAATAGGTCTTAGGGCCTGGCTAGCCTTATTTTTCCCATTTGTGATAAAAGGTAAGATTTGATGGATTCTAGATTTCCCGAAAGTTCTTAAATTATGCAATTTTAAATAACTTGTGGGTGAATTAAAATTTAACTTTTTTAATACACTATTTGCTCAGGAAATTACTTCCGAAAAAATCCTTGTTTCCCAGGCTCAGTATGAGATCTGCAAAAACAGACATGAATTTGGTTCATTTCACTATTTTCACACCCCTCACCCTGACCTGGTCTCAAGGGTCTCTTTCTGTTCCCAAACACACTAATCTTATTTCTGTATCTAACTATCTCCAGTCGCTTTTATTCTCTGGCAGAGCCTCACTAGTTGGCTCCTCCTCATCTTTCAGATTTTGTTTCAAGTATCATTTTCCTGTTCACCCTATTAAAGTTGCTTCTTTCTCTCTCTCTCACTTTATATCACTTCATGACTTGCCACATTGTAGACACTCAATAAATATTTCTTGAATAAACAAAAACATGAATCAATTTAAAAATGAAGAATCAATCTCTAACACAAGAGCTCACTATATTGGGTAGAGACAAAGCTATAAACAATAATAATATTTTAAATCCTCTAATAAAGATGTGGGACTAAGTGCTATGCATACACAAAGGAAGGAATGTCTATGCCAGATAATTCTAGGCAGAGGCAGTAAGTTTTGATGAATGGATAGAAGAATGGCAAACAAGGAAATAAGACAATAATATTCCAGGTAAAAGGGAAAACTGTGATCCAAAATACAGAGCTGAGAAAGATCATAAGGGAAGAGTTTCAGGGGATAATTTGGCTTCAGGATTTTGGAAGCAATGCTAAAAAGTATGGACTTCATTCAGTAACTGCTGAGGATTTTTTATGGACAGCTAAAAGTACAAGAGAATGGATCTCTCCACTTCTGAGGGACGGGGAGCAGAATTTCAATCATGGGGGAAAATGTCCTTTTGAAGAATTGTTAAGGGCCATTTGCACTATTTGTGTGTGTGTGTGTGTGTGTGTGCATGTATGAGAACATACACACAATGAGCTTAAAAACATGAGCCAAAAGCAAGTCTACATGACATTCATAATAATTACCAATAAAAAGAGTAAGGAAAATGATGTCTTTAATAATAACAGAATTTTCTGACTTAGTAATGAGCCTTTTTTTTTTTTAGGTTTCCCTAACCCAGTGTCTACACCCAGTCAGTCAAATCTTTTCTTTCAGATTCAATTGTCTGTCCAATTCCAGGCTTAAGGTTAGGATTTCTGATGGAAACACAGACAAGGCCTGATATGTACACTGACTAACAAATTCTAAACACTCTTCTTAGTCTTTTATAGCAATTATACTAGTTATAATAGAGAGAATGATTGCTTTCCCCTAACTGCCACTAATTACCCCTCAATATTTACTTAATGCATAATCGTCATCAGATTAACTTTCAGTCATGGAATGTATAATTATAAATGTAAATCAATAGAATGTAATTGTGGCTGGCTACACTAACACTTTGAGAAACAATTTAGTAACAGTTGTATGAAAAGAACTATTTTTTTTTTAAATGTAACACAATCGTTAGGGTTTTCTTCTAGAAAAGCTATAATAATTCGCACATTGAGTTGAAATGTCTGGTAAAAGACTCATGCGATAATCAGTTTTGTATAAAAGAAATAATGTATAAAATAGTTCACAATGTTTAACTAACATCCAGAAGATTTGTAATGGCTTTCCATTGCAACCTGTGACTTGAAAACAGGTTAGGACCTTTCCTAGGCTGTCACCATCTGTTTCTTCTCCTTCTTTGGAATGTGGTTTCTCTCAGGTCAGGACTTCAGGAATTTACTGAAGTAGCTACTCCTGGCTTCCTTGCCTGTGCTCTTGACCCTCCTGTATTCTATTTGCTGCACAGGAACCAACCTGATAGTTTTGAAAACATAAATCAGCTTGCATTGCTGCCTTGCTTAAATATTCTTCATTGGCTTATCATTGTATTCAGGATAGCATCCAATGCTCATAAAATACCCAATTCCAATATGCTGGATATTAATTGTTAATTAATTAATTAATCTTTAATTGATTAATCTTTAATTAATTAATGTTTAATTGTTATTTAAATGTTGTATTTGCCAAATAATTTTTTAGCATTTATGGAGATAATCATGTCTATTTTCCACTTAAGTTTAATAATATGGCATATTGTATTAATAAATTTCCTAATAGTGAACAAATATTGCTTTCTTCTAATAAATCTCACTTGATCATGGGGTATTATTTTCTTCTTGTATTGTTGGTTTCTGTTAAAAATGTTTTATTTTGTATTTTTGTGTAAGTGATATCAGTCTGTAACTTCCTTTCTACAATCTTTATCCTGCTTAGAATTCATATTAAAAAAGAATTTGAAAAGTTCTTTCATTTTCTAGGCTCTGAAGAAATTTATGTATCATTGGGGCTATCCAGTCTTTGGTCTTTGGTGATTTGGTAGAACTCCCCTGTGACACCATCTAGGCCTCATGTTTGTTTTTATCTAATACCATTCTCCGTTGTTTCAATGGATATTGACATAGTTAAGCTTTCACTTTCCACTGGGGTCACAGAAATCTATAAAGTAGTCTGTCATGGATTTTAAAAATGTATTCTGTTTCAATGGTTGTTTTCTCTTTTTCATATCTTATTTTGTATATTTGTGTTTACTTTTTCCCTTGATTAAGGTAACAAGTAGTTTGTATATTGTATTCTTAATGCTTTACTTCCATAAATTATGCTTTTAATTTAATAATTATTTTGGAATACATTATTCTCTATTTTCTAGCACTTTAGGTGAGAACTTAATTCACTTGTTTTTATTTTTTATGGTTACTGAATTTGTGTTTATTTTTATTAATATTCCTTTTGATCATTATTTAAATATGTTCCATTGATTCTAATGTATATTGTTTTATTATTAATTTTAAGACATTCTGTAATTTTTATGTTCATTTTCTCTTTCACCCATAAGTTGCTTATTATATGCCTTTTGAATTTTCAGGTTAAAGGGACTGCAATTCTTTATATTGCTCTTAGGTCTGTAAAAGAAAAATCTGAACACAATAAAATTTTTGAGTTTATTTGAGCAAGAAGCAATTCAGGAATTGGGGAACACCAAACAGAAAGAAGTAGGATTCCAATGACAAAATCTCACAGGGAAGTATTTCTGGATTAGGGTAAATATGGAAGCAGAATATGTTAACAAAATTCTTTTTTTGGTTTACCTTGTGTTTCAGTTCATTTTCTGCTGCTAAAACAGAATACCATAGACTGGGTAGTTTGTAAAGAAAGGAGATTTATTTTGCTCATGGTTCTGGAGGCCAGGAAGTTCAAGAGTGTGGTGTTGGCATCTGGTGAGGCTCTCATCCCATGGCAGAAGGCTTCACATGGTAAGCAAGAACTTTATCTTTTTATCAGGAAACCACTCTCTCAATGGCTAACCCACTCTCACAATAATGGTATTAATCAGTGGTGGAGCACTCGTGATTTAATCACCTCTCAAAGGCCCCACCTTTTCATACTGATCATTAAATTTAAACATGAGTCTTGGAGGGGTCATTAAAACCATAGCACCTTGTTGGAAAATACCTAGTCACATAACCATATGTTAGTTGGCTGCTTATGACTGGCTGAAGTTTAAGTTTTGTTTCTGTCTAATATAAACATTTATCAGAAATGACCTAAGTTTAGTTTAATTTATAAAGCTTGCAGCTTAGGAAAAGTTACGGCTATTTTTAAGGCCTAGATGGTATTTTTATTTGGTCAGGAATTCTTTAGGCTAGATCTCCATTTTAATTTTGCTTTAACAGTTTCTAGTTTTATTATATTGTGATTAATGTATGTTGTTATAATATTTTTACTTTACAAAACTTACTAATACTTTTTTGTCCCCTCACATATGATCTTTTTTTGTGACTGTTCCAAGTGAGATAAAAGTATGCTCTTTTATCAGGATGTATAGTTCAGTATGTAGCCATAAGATTGTCCTTACTGATTATGTTATTCAGGTCCTCTATATTCTTGCTTACTTTTTTGGCCATTTGGTCTGTTTTGTAGAGAGTAGGGTTTTAAATTGTTTTCATATTAGTGTATTTTTACCTATGTATCCTTATATTTTCTATAATGTTTGCTTTATAAAGATGGTTACTGTCATTTTATGTATAGATACTTATAACTGTTACATAATGATTTCGAATTATCGGTTTTAGTATTAGTAAAAATGTCCTTCTTTGTTGAATTTGATACTTTTTAATGTAAATTCTACTTTGAAATCAGCAAAGCAATATCCATTTAATGTTTCCACTTTCCTAGTATATGTTTGTCCATCTTTTTCTTTTTCAACCTTTCTGTACTATTTTTTAGGCATCTCTTGTATACAGATTATAGTTGGGTCTTTCTTTGCTAGACAAATTTGAAAATGATTTTCCTTTTACTAGGTGACTTAAGCCTACTTAAATTTATAGATGTAACTGATATATTATCATATTTTTTAAATCTTCAAGTAAAAAAAGACATTAGTGATCCTGTAGGTTAAATATATACTAGAAATTTTAATATGTTAAATTACAATAAATCCATATACTAAATCAGACTCATTTCTAGACTCCCTAAAAATCTAAATTAGGATGATGGAACCCCTTATAGCTTATCAAGTGTCTGTGTGTGTACCTAGGTATGTGTCTGTTTGAGTCTCTGTGCGCCTGTGTGTGTATATTTTCATATGTATCTTTTGAACTGCTGTCTCCACACACATACCCCTCAAGTATATGAGTTACTTGGCTTTATGTACAACCTCCCTACTAACCCTCATTCTGCTGCCAGATGCATACAGAGTGTCAGGAAAATGGTAAGTGGTCAGTAAATATTTGCTGAATTAATTAATACATGAATAGCTCAGAGGAAGGAGCCTCTTAAACGTTAATTATATTTATTAAATTATGTGAATTCATTGTTCCAGTTGCCTGTGGAGTACATTTATAAACGTATACAAGTAATTTATCTTTCTGGTTTAGGCAGAAGTTAGTCTAATTGTTTTAATGCATCTTGTTTTCAGGTAATGGTTTCTGTCAGTGAAAGTTTCTAAGGCCAAACATCTAGTAACTACCCAGGTTTGAACCCAGGTTTTTTGAACTGCATTATCTGTGCTTTTAACCTGCATTATCTGTGCTTTTTGGGCTTTTAGCCCCAAATCATATCTCATTTGAAAAACATTTATACTATTGCCCTGGATCCTCAGTATATACATTTCCATCACACTTGGCATATGATTCAGATCCCAGCTCCAATCTTACTATTTTTATTTTGACTAACGTAATTGCTCTTTATAATGAACCCTAGAAATTTAAAATACTGTGGATTTATTGGCTTCTTAGAAAAGCTTTGTTATCACTAGCTTGCTAGTGCAATTCCCTGGCATGCTTTCCCCCCTGCTTTTGGTGTGCTAATTTTGTTTCCAGAAAGGAATATAGGGGTTTTAACTTCTATTTTGGATCATTAATTTCACTAAGTCATTTGGACAGCAGGGTACTTAAAGCTTTCTCAGCACTTTGAATGAAAGAAGACTTTGAAAGTGCCTCAGTTGAATGCTTCTTATTCTAAACTGAAGGCTTGCATTAGAAATAGACTACACTGTCCATGGAAGATTTATGAGTATATGATTGAACCGGGAATGACAGATATAATAATATATGAAGCTTTCACAAATACTTGGGTGAAAGGAATCATTTTCACAGTGTCATGAATGACATTCTCAATTTAATTAAAATAAAAAACAAGCTATTGGAATAATATCTATAGTATTCAAGTTTGGTGTTCCTACCAATAGTTCGAGACATTAAAAGTTATTTTAAAAAGCACTGATTGAAAATTACTTTAGTTCTCATTTAAAAAATAATTAAAATGGTTGCGCTATTACAAATAAATACATTGTTTAAAATATTTACAAAATACTGATTGGTAGAAAAACATGAAAAATGCCTCAGCTGATAAGGTTTTGGTATTATAAACTTCTAGAATGTTTTAATGAATATATATGTATTGGCCTTCCTAGCTTGTTTTAAATGAGAATACCCACATCCATATCCATATCATGGTGGACATTTTTCATGTTTTGACTCTCTCAGTACTTTGTACATGTGAGGAATTCCTTACCTTTTAAGCACTGGTGAAGGGCTAAACTTGCCTTTTGTTATGAGGCTGGAGATACTTCCTCACTTTTCCAGATTCTTTGCCAGCAAGTTAATAGACTGGTACCTAAACTCAGCTAATTATCATAGTTCATCTGGAATTACTGACATAAGAGGCCATTCTTTCTTGCAACAGCAATGAAGAAAGCAGTTCCTTCTATTTTCCACTGATAAAAATGGTGACAATTCAAGCTGCAGTATTTTTAAATCAGAATATGTGAATCTTCCAACCTTGTTTTCCTTTTCACCATTACTTTGTCTGTTCTTGGTTGCTAATACTTCCATATGAATTTTAGGAATTTTAGGATTAAAATTTTAGAATTTTAGGATAGAATTTAGAAATTTGTCAATTTCTGCAAAAAAAATCAGCTGAAATTTTGATAATGTTTCTGTTGGATGTATAGATCAATATAAAGAGTATTGTCATCTTAATAATTATGTCTTCCAATCCAGGACCATAATTTATTTCTATTTATATAGCTTTTCTTTGATTTCTTCCAACAATGTTTTGTAGTTTTTAGCATATAATTTTTAAACTGGCTTTATTAAATATATTTCTAAGTATCTTATTTTTTAGATGCTATGGTACATGGTATTGTTTCAGATTGTTCATTGTTAGTGTACACACATTGTTGTAGGTCAATCTTGTATCCTGAAACCTTGTTAAATTCATTTATTCTAAAATTTTTACTAGGTTTATTTAAAGTTTTTACATACGTGGCTTTTTTTTTTTTTTCCATTCAGCCAGCCTATGTTTCTTCAGTGGGCAGTTCAAGCCATTCACAATTATTGAGAGAATTGATATTTGGGGTGGATTTCTGTTCATCCTGTTGAGTATACGCTTATTGTTTTATTTTATTTCTTGAGCCATTGTGGAATCTGGGTTCTGAACTTTATCCTTTGGATGGTTTTATACTGGTGGGTGTCTATAGTGCTGGTCAGTATATAATGCAGGTCTGAGTACTTCCTGCAGGGAAGGTCTGGTCTTCCCAAATTCCCTCAGCGATTGCTTGTCTGGGAAAGCCTTTATTTCTCCCTCACATAAGAAGCTTAGTTTTGCAGCATATGGAATTCTAAACTGGGCATTATTCTGTTTTTCTAAAACTGAAGGAGGATGGGTACTCAGTCCCTTCTGGCTTATAAGATCTCAGTAGAGAAGTCTGCAGTTAGTCTGATAGGTTTTCCTTTGTAGGTGACCTACTCTTTTCACATCACTGTTTGTGGGAGTGCCTCTTTCATGTTTACTTTGGCCAGCCTAATAACTATGTGACATGGATGGAGCTGGAACCCATTCTTCTAAGTGAAGTATCACAAGAATGGAAAAACAAGCACCACATGTACTCACCATTAAATTGGTACTAATTGATCAACACTTAATGTGCACATATGGAAGTAACATTTCATCAGGTGTCAGGCAAGTAGGGGGGGTGGGGATGGGTAAATTCACACCTAACAGGTGTGGTGTGCACTGTCTGGGGGTTGGGTACACTTGTTGCTCTGACTTGGATGGTACAAAGGGAATATATGTAACCAAAGCATTTGTACCCCCATAATATTCTGAAACTTAAAAAAAATTTTAAAAATAAAGATAATAGTATAAACTTGTTTGGGGAAAAAAAAGTTTCTAGACAAGATCATGTCATCTGAAAATAGATAATTTTATTTCTTTCTTTTTAATATGAATGCCTTTATTTCTTTTTCTTCCTTAAATATCCTGCCTAGAACTTGCATTACAAAGTTGAAAAGAAATAGCAAGATCAATATCCTTGTCTTTTTTTATGGTCATTTAGTCATTCACCTTTAAGTATAATCTTAGTCTGCTTATGTTGTTAAGTGTTTTTATTAAGAAAATGTGTTGGATTTTGTCTCGTTTTTTTCCGCATCTATTGGGATACTCATGTAGTTTTTGTCTTTTGATATGGTATATTACATTATTTACAAATATTAAAACACTATTGCACTCCTGGGGTAAATCTACTTAGTTGTGGTGTATTATTCTGTTTATGTTGCGGGATTTGTTTTTCTATTTCTTTGGGGATTTTTATGTCTATAAGAAATATTAGTCTGCAGTTTTCTTGTGATGTCTTTATCTAATTTTGCTATAAGGTTAATGCTATTCTTATGAAATGATTTGGGAAGTATTCACTCCTTTTCTATATTTTGAAAAATATTTATGAAAAATTAGTATGAATTCTTCTTTGAAT